GGGCCCCCGGCATTCCTCCACACCGACAATACATTTTGCTTCAGTCCCAGGGCATCCACTGGTTAACAGAACTTCTCGAATGCCAATCCCTTTGGGGGAAAAAAATCTTTCACTCCGCATTTCTTCATCTGTTTTTGCTTTCTCTTTCTTTATTCTGGATGTTAATATGATGTATCTACCAAATACCAGGCAAAACAGATCTTCTCAGAGTGCCTGCTAAAGCTATCCCATGTTGGTATCTAAGATTTCGTGACAACATGTACTTCCGTCAGACTCTGCACCAAAGGAGCCAGATTCTTAGAATCATCATGTGTCAGAAAAAGAACCCAAAATGAATTCAAAACTTTTCTTACAGAAAAAGAATTTGAAATGAAACTAATGTATATTCTGCAAAACAGTTAATTCACTTTAAATATCAAAGCATTCAGGCTCCTGGCCTTTAAATGCTCAAATCAGATGGCACAGAGAATCCTGTACCGACTGCCAACTCAGTCTGCCTCCAGTCTTGTGACTGTCTGAGTGTCTTCAACTCCCACCAAGGTCAACAGAAGCTGAAGGCACCAAAAACCTCCTGGCACTGGGGAGTCTGAAGTTCCCTAACAGTGACTAACAATGAGTGATACAGGAATACCACCACCAGCCTCCAAAATGAAGCCTCTCAGAGCACGGAGGGTGGTGGTCAGCAATACAGGGCTTCTCATGAGAAACAGGTGAAATCAAGTGTTGACCATCAGGACTCCACCTGCAACACAGAAGATCCTACTGAAGACAAAGAACAGGAGATGACCTATCACAAATGTGTAAAGTTAAGGAAAATTCCCACACAATGTTCAAGGAAGCAAGAAAAGCGTTCACTCTCACTATCAGGATTTCAATGGGAACATCCTCATTTTAACAATTACGAACAAATTCAAAACAAGTGGTATAATTGTTTTTGCCAAACAGTGTGTACACAGTTCATTGGAATGACATAGCTTGTGGGGGAGGCAGGAATAAGATGTTTAGGCCCAGTAAACACTGAAGGTTTTGCCATTTTTCCAGAAGCATTTTGTTTACTAATAGGCAAGGCAAAAGGAGAGTTAACCCCCCTTGCAGTAGAATAATAAATAGGAAATTGGTTTGAATGTTGCATTTATGATGCATCTGCCTTCCTTAAATGTGTACCACATAAACCAGTGGATTTCAGAATGTTTCAGAGATGTCATGTAACTCGTGAAACAGTACTTCAAGTGACAGAGGGAGACAACACCACTTACTGAAAATGACACAAAACAAGGATCGTTCTCCACTCCAAAGAATGTCTCATCTCGAGGATGCAGAGACAGAGGTGTAAATGGCAGTGAACTGACACTTTTATTAAAGGCATTCCTCTTTCTTCAGTCCCATGTAGCTTTTTTTGGCTAACAAAAAAGACAGGAAACCTATGAAAACCCAAAAGGATGGCTTGATAAAATCTGGGTGCTGGGCTAACTGTAGTCACATTCATCAGGAAAAATCTCACCGTGTTTTACCTACGGGAATATTAAAATTTGGGAAATATATCACACTCAGAGGGTTGATGAAAAAAGCTCTTTTAATTAGATCTGCAAGTTCTTTTGGTACTCCTCTGCCTCTTATTTTTGGACAGCTTTTTCTTTCATTTTTTTTTTCCCTACCTCTTCTTAGTAGCTGCCAATGCTGATGAAATTAATCTACTGAGATGCTCTAACAAATGAAGTCTTAAGTTCAACAAGTCATACAAGTTAACCTAACAGAAAACTGGTCACAATGCAGTAAAATAAACTACCGAAATGAAATTCACCCTAGAGAAATGTAAATTAATAGACTGGTGGAGGGAGGGGGGTGAAGAGGGATGATCCACAAAGAACTGAATATTTAGCAACACAAAAACAGCAGTTATGAGAGAAATTTAGCGGTAAGAGTGGCCAAAACAATTAGACCACAAAGAGACTAAGGCAAATTTGAGGCAGGTATGACAAGACATCATTAACATATGCTTTAATTATGCTTTAATGCCTCTGTAAACCTATGAATAGAGGTCTATGAATGGAGGAGCAATGGATCTAAGCCACAGCATTACAGAGAAAAAATAAAGAAAATGGAGTCAGTTCAGAAAGCAAGAAATATAAAGGGCTAGATAGATGAATCTAGGGAATAAGAAGGGATATGAAGGAGACAAAGAGCTTACAGCTTTACTGGAAGAACCAAGAACCTACTTTTCAGCCTTTCAACAGACAAACATGCCATGCATTGAACAGCCTAGACTAGAATGAAGGCTACAAACATGATCCGAACTCCAGATATGAGATGATGCCTTTTTCTTTTTTGTTAGCGCTTCCCCTTCCTGATTCTTCAGTAAGACTATATAATTTTCAGTATTAAAGGGGTTAAACATTTGTATTGGGTCTGGCTGGGATGGAATTAACTTTCCCCATAGCAGCCCTCATAGTGCATTTGTAGCTGGAATGGTGTTGATAACACACCGATGTTTTGGCTACTGCTGAGCAGTGCTCCCACAGCATCCAGGCTGTCTCTTCACCACCCCCCCCAAAGGCCAGTAGGCTGGGGGGTGGCCAAGAGGCTGGAAAGGGAACCAGGCCAGACAGCCGGACCAAACCGACCAAA